CATGATCCCGATTTATAGCCTTTTTTGAAAAGTACCAGCCCTGTCGAAATGCTAAAATTTTAAAATTCTGGAGATTCTAAAGCTACACAGTCACCAATTCTTGAAAGCCTAGAAAATTTCCATCAGCAACAATTTCACGACTGGGGTATGTCGTTCACAAGTACACCACAAGGAAACGGAAAATTCTTCCAAACGGGAGACAATTCTTTCATTATTTCTGTGAAAGATAAATTCTCTTCAGGATTTTGCACTGTCGAAAATTCGTGTTGCTCTTTATTTGCTTTCAAATGCAGAAACTGGCTGGTAAGTTATTTCTACAGCAAACTGTTAGAGAAATCAATCAGAAGCTGGGAACTCCTCTGTTTTCACTTTCTATGAAAGATGAAAGCATTCAGAAGCAGTTGGGGTGGTAGCAGAAGCTAAAAGCAACTATCAACTGGGAAGGCTGTCCATTGGTACCCTTTTTCAAGAATTATTTCGAAACAAGCTGATGGCGATCCCATCTCTCTGGCATGTGCCAGAATCAGTTTACTACTGATGAGTTTCTGTTGCGGTGTTGAGTTGGAGCGTATATGAATTGATGAACCGAAACATCTTATCTCATTCTAATCTCCTTATCTCAAATTGTTATCTACCTCACTCCCACCAAAAAGGCTTCCAAGGTCAATCTGATTGCTGCAATCTGCTTACCACTAAAAACGAATGGATAAATCATTGAGGGACTGGCTACTACGAAAAGACAGAAAATCTGCCGCAATAGCCATGCAGTTGCAAAGGCTTCGATGATTTTCTAATCTATCGAGTGACCAAGAAGCAGACTGTGAAGGCTCTCTAACTTATTAGCATGTTTAGCTTACTGTCGAAATATATATGTGTATCATGAAAGAGGCTGGTTTAACCACTGGCAAATTGATCAAAGCCCTGAGTCTAGAAGTGGGCGACACTTATCAGTACCCCGACTCAGAAGCATTACTGTTTTACTCGAATCATATCACAGAGCATGTTTCAAAACGTGCCTCCACGAAGTTCAGACAAAATGTAAACGAATTAATGGACCGAGACATTTCTTACCAATATAATATTTTATTTCTACTAATTTCATAATATTATTTTCTCTTGTCTTCTTTCAACTTTAAAATATTTTCCTATTATTGGAAGCGTTGCAGATGCATGCTACGGGCCGTGGAGTGTTCGAAGTGAGCCAGAAAGATGCGTTACTTCAGCAAACTGCAAAGATGCTGATGCAGAGTGCGTGTATAGTCTGCAACAAGCACATCATATCTGCTGCAGGCCCAAACCGGGCGTTTTGCTACCTCGTAAGTAATTCGAAAAAGTCAAACATCTGAATCAAAGTTATCTTGCCCAAATTCATAGACGTGAG